CATTCAGTTTGGTGTGCTGAGGATTTTTACATCAATGTTTATAAGGGTTATTAGTTTGTATATTTTATTTTCTTGTAATGTTCTTGTCTGGCTTTGGTGTCAGAGTAATGCAGGCTTCATAGAATGAGTTTGGAAGTATTTTGTTTGTAAGCATTTGAGCAGTATTGTGTTCTCTCTCTCTCTCTTTTTTTTTTTTTTTTTTTTGAGACAGAGTCTTGCTCTGTCACCCAGGCTGGAGTACAGTGGCTCGATCTCGACTCACTGCAACCTTTGCCTCCTGGGTTCAAGCTATTCTCCTGCCTCAGTCTCCCGAGTATCTGGGATTATAGGCATGTACCGCCACACCTGGCTAATTATTATATTTTTAATAGAGACAGGATTTCACCATGTTGACCAAATGCTGATCTTGAACTCCTGTCCTCAAGTGATCTGCCCACCTCAGCCTCCCAAAGTGATGGGATTACAGGCATGAGCCACCACTCCCAGCTGTTAATTCTTTTTTAAATGCTTGGCAGAATTATCTAGTGAAGACATTTGGTCCTGGGCTTGTCTTTTTTGGAAGCTTTCTTTTATTGATGCAATCTTACTAGCTGTAGGTCTGTTCAGATTTTCCATTTCTTCATGATTCAGTCTTGATAGGTGTGTGTTTCTAGGAATTTATTCTTTTTCTCTAGTTATCCAATTTGTTGGTATACAATTGTTCACAGAATTCTCTTATAATCATTTTAATTGTTGTGATATTGAAGCTCACTTGCCCCTCAGGCATTTGAAGACAGAGTGAAAAGATGGCTCTTTATGAACCAAGAAGCTGGCACTCCCCAGATACTGAATTTGTGTTTGTATCTGATCTTAATTACTTACATTATCTTTTTTTATTTCTCAGTCTAGCTAAGGTTTGTCCTTTTTTTATGAGGTGGAGTCCCACTCTGTCGCCCAGCCTGGAGTGCAGTGGCACAATCTCTACTCACTGCAACTCTGCCTTCTGGGTTCAGGTGATTCTCCTGCCTCAGCCTCCCGAATAGCTGGGATTACAGGTGCCACCACCATGCCTGGTGAAGTTTGTATTTTTAGTAGACATGGGGTTTCACTATGTTGACCAGGCTGGTCATGAACTCCTGATCTCAGGCAGTCTACCCTCCTTGGCCTCCCAAAGTGCTGGGATTACAGGTATGAGCCACCATGCCTGGCAGGTTTGTTCATTTTTTTTTACTTTTTCAGAAAACCAACTTATATTCTTTATTTTATTTATCTTTGCTCTAATCTTTATTATTGTCTTTCTTCTGGCAGCCTAGGGTTTATTATTATTATCTTTTGTTTCTTGATCCTCCCACCTCAGCCTCCCATGTAGCTAGGACTATAAGCACACGCTATCATGTTGGGCTAAATTTTAAATTTTTCTGTAGAGATGGGAGGGGGTCTCACTATGTTGCCCAGGCTGGTCTTGAACTCCTGGCCTTAAGTGTTCCTCCACCTTGGCCTCCTAAAGTGCTGGGATTACAAGCATGAACCACCATGTCTAGCTGGTTTTATTTTGATTTTTCTCCAGATATTTTCTAATTTTATTTTTGATTTCTTTGATCAATTGGTTATTTAAGAATGTGTTGTCTTTTCTTGTTTTCCTTCTGCTATTAATATCTAGTTTCATTCCATTGTGATCAGAAACTGTATTTTGTATGAATTCAGTGTTTCAAAATTTGCTTAGACTTGTTTTGTGGCCTAACATATGGTCTGTCCTAGAGAATAATCTGTGTGCACTTGAGAAAAATGGTATTTTACTGTTATTGGGTGGAGTGTTTTGTATAAGTCTGTTATGTCGACTTTCTTTATAGTATTGCTCAGGTCCTCTATTTCCTTATTGATCTTCTATCTGGTTTTTCTATATATTATTGAAAATAAGAGTATTGATGCCTGACAAAGATAAGGGAATTAAAAAGTTAAAATAAAAATAAAGAATATAATGGCCGGGCATGGTGGCTCACGCCTGTAATCCCAGCACTTTGGGAGGCCGAGGCGGGTGAATCATGAGGTCAGGAGTTCGAGACCAGCCTGGCCAAGATGGTGAAACCCCGTCTCTACTAAAAATACAAAAATTAGCTGGGTGTGGTGGTGGGTGCCTATAATCCCAGCTACTCGGGAGGCTAAGACAGGAGAGTCGCTTGAATCCAGGACGGGGAGATTGCAGTGAACCGAGAGCATGCCATTGCACTCAAGCCTGGGCGACAAGAGCGAAACTCTGTCTCAAAAAAAAAAAAAAAAAAAAAAAAAAAAAAACATACTACTTGAATTCAAAAGTTACTGGGTTGGTAAAAGAAGAAAAAAGAGGAAAAAAAAAAAAAGAAAATAAGGGTAGTGGTATCTCCCACTATTATTGTGTTTATTTTCATTTCTCCCTTCAATTTTGTCAATGTTTGGCTTATACCTTTAGGAGCTCTGATGTTTGGTAACTAATTGTTTATAATTGTTATATATTCTTGGTAAATTGATTCTTTTTAAAAATTGACTCTTAAGATTATATAATGTCTTTCTTCATCTCATGGTATTTTTTCTCTTAAAGTCTGTTTTGTCTAATATATATATATATTTTTTGAGACGGTGTTTCACTCATGTTACCCAGGCTGGAGTGCAATGGCACAATCTCGGCTCACCACAACCTCCGCCTCCTGGGTTCAGGCAATTCTCCTGCCTCAGCCTCCTGAGTAGCTGGGATTACAGGCACGCGCCACCATGCCCAGCTGATTTTTTGTATTTTTAGTAGAGACGGGGTTTCACCATGTTGACCAGGATGGTCTCGATTTCTTGACCTCGTGATCCACCCGCCTCGGCCTCCCAAAGTGCTGGGATTACAGGCGTGAGCCACCGCACCCGGCCTGTTTTGTCTAATATTAGTGTAGCCAACTTTGCTCTCTTTTTGTTACAATTTGCATGAAATAGATTTTTCCATCATTTTACTTATAACCTATGATCTGATATTAGTCTTCTGTAGACAGCAGATAGTTGGATCCTGTTTATTTATTTATTTATCCATTCAGCCTATCTATGTCTTTTAATTGGGGAGTGGTATAGACTGAATATTTGTTCCCCCACAAAATCTATATGTTGAAACTTAATCCCCAATATGATAGTATTTGAAGATGGGGGTCTTTGGGAGGTTACTATAAGGGGAGTTCACATGAATGAGACCAGCAACCTTATAAAAGAGACTCCAGTGAGCTTCCTTGACCCTTCAGGCATGTTGAAGACAGAGTGAAAAGATAGCTGCTTATGAACCAAGAAGTGGGCTCTCCCGAGAAGTGGGCTCCCCCGAGATGCTGAATTTGTATTTGTATCTCCCTTCTTTCATAGACAGATCCTTCGTCCCCCACATATCAGCATATTTACTTATTTGCCCCATCTTATAATACACACAAAACAACGTCAACATTATTATCAATAACAATACTAACAATAAGCCTAGTATGTAAAGTTCAAGATTTCTTTGAAGCTCCTTTTGTCCTTAGAATGTCTTCCTTAGGCTGTAGAGCCACTTTGCTTGTTCAAAAGCTACTTGAATGAATTTTCCACCACTCTGTGGTTATATTATAAATTTGTTATACTGTTAGGTTTATGTATTTCTTTTTATATTCACTTTAGGTTATCTGTTTTTTTGAGATGGGGTCCCACTTTGTCACACAAGTTGAGGTGCAGTGGCACAATCTTGGCTCACTGCCTCCCAGGCTCAAATGATCCTCCAACTTCAGTTTCCTGTGCAGCTGGGACCACAGGCACGTGCCACCATGCCCAGCTAATTTTCTGTATTTATAGTAGAGATGAGGTTTCACCATGTTCCCCAGTCTGATCTCAAACTGGTCTCAAATTCCTAGGTTCAGCTGATCCACCCACCTCGGCCACCCAAAGTGCTGGTATTGCAGGTGTGAGCCACCATGCATGGCCTCACTTTAAGGTATGTTTTAATTTGTTTTTAAAATTTGTTGATTCCATATGGTTCAAAGTCAAACCTATATTTAAAAAATTAAACACAGAGAAGTATCATTACCATTCCTGTTCCTTCATTCCATTACACCTCCCTATTCTTAACATTTTCACTGGAAAAACATTTATGCCTCCTGTTTGTTTTTTGCCAAATTAAGCAAATCACTCTCTCTCTCTGTGACACACACATACTTATTTTCTCTTTTTATCTTACGCAAAAGTAGCATACCACGTATACTGTTTATTACCTTGCTTTTATTCCTGAATATTGATATATTCTGGACATTATATTGTTCATAGAGACCTTTCTCATTTTTTTTTAACAATTATATTGTACACCATTGACACTGCTCAGTAGATTCACCATATCTCATTCAGTCTCAGCTGATTACCATTGGGTTGTTTTCTAGTTATTTTATTATAAATGATGTCACAATAAATAACTGTGTATATAATGTTATGTTTGTGAAGGTATATATTTAAATTCTTAAAGATGGAATTGCAAGTTCAAAAGACAAATGCATACATCATTCTTTGAAGATATTGCCAAATTCCTTCCATTGTGGTTCTACCATGTTTTTCACTCCTACAAACAATATATGAGAATGCCTGTTTTTCCACAGCCTTATTAACAGAGCCTATTGTCAGTTTTTTTTTTTTGAATGTTTGTCCATCTGATTGATGAAAAATGGTATCTCAATGTGGTTTTAATTTGTATTCTTGTTATGGATGAAATTAAGCAAGTTATGTTTAAAGCCCTTTTAAATTTTTGTTTTATACATTTGCAGTACTGTACTATATTTATCAATACCATAAATTTATATTATCTGTTTTTTTAACTTATATTTTAAGTCCAGGGGTACAATGCAGGTTTGTTATATAGGTAAATTTGTGTCACAGGGGTTTATTGTACAGATGATTTCGTTACCCAGATATTTTTTTTTTGAGGATACAGAAGACATTTATTCAAAGTCCAGGTACAGACTGGCCAACCTGCCTCTACAGCGAACACAGGACTACAGAGAAGGGAAGAGTTGGTTATAAAACGGTTTTTAATCGGTTCTCTCAGCATCGCGAGCCATCGGGACGGCAATGGAATGTGCGTGAGGTCCCTGCAGCTCCGCGGTCAGTACCGAGCCTGGAATTGCGCTAGCAAAATATACATCTGTGTCTCCATAAAAATCCGCGTCGCTGCCCCTCGTGTCTCACAACAGGTATAAAAAATTATAAATATTTACACCCTCGTTACACTCTCCTTTACGGAAAGGGGATCCCAGGAGCCCCCGGGACAGGCCGCGCAGAGGCGGGGGAAGAGCACAGCGAAGTCGAGACCAACGACTGCCTTCCGGGTCCCAGCATCAGAGACAGGCGAAAAACAGAAATGAGACTTTGGTCCAAAATTTGAAGGAAAAAACCCCTGAAGAAGTTTGAGAGCAAGTTTTCTAGGCGATTGCAGGTGAAGGTGTGGTGTAAGGCAACCGGAGGCGATGCCAGAGGTCGGCGGCGCGCCCGCCCCTTCCCGGAAGCTCGGGGCTGAGATCCGACCAGGGCTCCCTGTGACTGACCCTCCGGGCGGCCCCGCCTGCTCTCTGGAAACTGGGTCCCGCCTGTGACTTAATGACAAGGAATAAAACAAAACAGCATGCAAGGTAATACCGCGAGAAAGTTTAGATTACACTCATACCATTGTATCATCTTGCTATAAAAAGTTACTTAAAACTATTTCTTTTGCATTTAATTGAAAAAAGGATTAGAATATTTGGTCAACTGGAAATATTGCTAGTCACAGACGTCTGCAACTGCAAAGTACATAATACAGAGATTATGACGAACAGCTCCGCAGCTGAAAGCAGCTGGGGTGCCAGCCAGCGCCTGGGGGCAGAGGGGAAGGCCCTGGGGGCAGGGCGGGCGGGCGGGCGGGCAAAATCACATCACTTGATTAGAGGGCGGGGGTTGGGGTGTAGCAGGCCGTGGCTGCCACACCCAGGCACATGATCCTGCAGGAGCCTGCTGGGCCCCCTGCCTTTCTCTGAAGTGTGACCCCTGCCCCTTGGGTCCCCAGGACACCCAGGGTGGGTGCGTGGCCGTATGAAGGCAGGTTTTTTAAGGCACAAGGAAGCCGAGTCGTGGTTGGGGCGCCCACCCGTAGGCCCCATGTCCGACAGGCCCCACCAAGGCACGGCCCGAGGGTCTGGCCCCGGGTCGGCGGGCCGGGAGCTCCTGCTGCCACAGTCACCAAGAGCCTGAGCGGTCACCCGTCACCGCAAGGTTAGCAAGGTGAACTAGATTTAATTTTTTAAGAAACAGGTAAAATGATTTCTCTTTAAAAAAATAAAATCTCTGGTCTGTTAAGGTCACTTCAGCTGCTTTTTAAAGTGGCTTTTCTCTGGAATGATGGAAGTTGTCGCCAGGGGACCCGGCCGTGGAGGGGCTCGTGCCCCTAGATGGTGGACTTGGAGAAGGAGACCCGCAGGTGGTGGCTCTCCCCGAGGTCGTGGTTGTGCAGGTCAATGAGGGCCTGGACAGCCACCTCGCCGGAGCCCATCTGGATCAGCGCCATCTTGCGGTCCTTCTGGAAGAACTTGAATCCTTTGACGACGCCCCCATTGCTGGAGAAGAGGACCTTGAGATCTTCCTCGGACACTGAGGGCGGGATGTTGGAGAGGTGCAGGGTGGCCGACGGTGGGAATATGTTCTGGCAGTTCTTGAAGCCTGGCTTCTTGAAGCGGTGCAGGGGCGAGTTGCCATAGTCCTTGGTCAGGCTCTGGTCCTCCTGGCCCTCGCAGGGAAGCTGCACGTTCTGATGCTTCGGGAGTGTGATGCGGATGGGCTTCCCGTGCAGCTTGTGCCAGTTCAGGTGGCTCACGGCAAGCTGGGCCTGGTTGTCGTCCGCCATCTGCACCAGGGCATTCTCCTTCTTATTGAACAGGATCTTTATGCGCTGCACATCGCCGTAGACGCTGAAAAGAATAAAGAGGCTTTGGGGTGTGACTCTCTCTGGGTTGAGGTTGCTGACCAGCAACACAGAATTTCCTGCCCCAACCAGGCCGGGAATGGCTATCCGGCCTGCCGCCGCAGCTGCCGCAGCTGCCGAGGGAATGGCCAGGGGCGCCAGGGCTCCGTGGACGTTGGGAACAGAGAGGCCGAAGGCCGTGGCCATGGTCTGGTCCAGCGAGGGCTGGCTGTCCCCGGAGGGCAGGTCTGGGCGCGTGTAGTCACGGCTCTTGTCGTTGTTGTACTTGACGTTGAGGCTGGTGAGCTTGGAGAAGTCAATGCGCAGCGTGCAGCAGGCGTAGATGTTCTGCCCGTCCAGAGACAGCTTGGCGCGCTGGGCGCTCACGGGGTCCGCGTACTGCAGCAGGGCCTGGAACTGGTTGTTCTTGGCGAAGGTGATGATCTTCAACACCGTGCCGAACTTGGAGAAAATATGGTGCAGCACGTCCAGGGTCACCTGGTAGAAGAGGTTCTCCATGATGATCCTCAGCACGGGGCTCTGCCCGGCCATCACCATCCCTGTGTCCACAGCCGCTGCCTAGGCAGCCAAAGCCAGGTTCCCCGACTGGACCGAGTTCACGGCCTGCAGGGCCGCCTGGACGCGTGCCTGGTTGGGAGAGCTGTCAGTCTTCAGCTCCTTGTGGTTGGAGAACTGGACGTAGATGGGCTGGCCGCACAGCACGGGTGTCACGGAGGTGTAGTAGTTCACCATGGTGTTGGCAGCCTCCTCTGTGTTCATCTCGATGAAGGCCTGGTTTTTCCCCTTCAACATCAGGAGATTGGTGACCTTCCCGAAGGGCAGCCCCAGGGAGATGACCTCCGCTTTGGTGACATCGATGGGGAGCTTCTGAATGTAGATCACTCTGGAGGGGATGCCGGCACGTTTGCTATCACCTTTGAACTTCTTGCTGTCATTTCCATTTGCTGCAGAAGCTGATTTGCTGCTCATGATAAACAGTCCATTGGTGACACAAGTAGAGAAAAGCTCGTCAGATCCCCGCTTTGTACCAACTGCTACATCTGGGACAATGCCTCCATGGCACACAGAGCAGACCCCCGGGGGATGGAGTGGAGGCGCTGGAATACTACCCAGGTATTAAACCTAGTACCTATTGGTTAACTTTTTCCGATCCTCTCCGTCCTCCCATAAATCTCAGTGTTTTTTGTTCCCTTCTATGTGTCCATGTGTTCTCATCATTTAGCTCCCACTTAAAAGTAAGAACATGGAGTATTTAAGTCTCCGTTCCTGTGTAACTTTGCTAAGGACAATGGCCTCCAGCTCCATCCATGTTCCTGCAAAAATGTGATTTTATTATTTTTATGGCTGCATAGTGTTCCATGGTGTATATGTACTACACTTTCTTTATCCAGTCTACCACTGATGAGCATTTAGGTTGATTCCATGTCTTTGCTGTTGTGAGTAGTTCTGCAGAAAACATGCATGTGTCTTTATGATAGAATTATTTATATTTCTTATTCCTTTGGGCATATACTCAGTAATGGGATTGCTGGGTGGAATGGTAGTCCTGTTTTTAGCTCTTTGAGGAATCATCACACTATTTTTCACAATGGTTGAACCAATTTACACTCCTACCAACGGTGTGAAAATGTTCCTTCTTCTCTGCAATCTCACCAGCATCTGTTATTTTTTGACTTTTTTTTTTTGAGAAAAGGTCTCACTCTGTCCCCCATGCTGGAGTGCAGTGGCATGATCACAGCTCACTGCAGCCTTGACCTCCTGGGCTCAAGTTATCCTTGTGCCTCAGCCTTCTGAGTAGCTGGGATTTTAGGTGGGTGCCACCACACTGGCTAATTTTTGTATTTTTTGTAGAGATGGGGTCTTGCCATGTTGTCCAGGCTGGTCTCAAACTCCTGGGCTCAAGTGATCCTCTTTGGCTTCCCAAAGTGCTAGGATTATAGGCATGAGCCACTAAGCCCAGCCAATTGTGGACTTTTTTTTCCTTTTTTGAGACAGAGTTTTGTTCTTCTTGCCCAGACTGCAGTGCAGTGTCATGATCTTGGCTCACAGCAATCTCTGTCTCCTGGGTTCAAGTGATTCTCCTGCCTCAGCCTCAAAGTAGCTGGGATTACAGGCATGTGCCACCATGTCTGGGTAATTTTGTATTTTTAATAGAGATGTCTTTTCTTCCTTCTTTCCTTCCTCCCTCCCTCCTTCTCCCTTCCTTCCCTTCCCTTCCCTTCCCTCTCCCTTCCCTCTCCCTTCCCTCTCCCTTCCCTCTCC